TCTCAGCCCCCCCCCCCTGTGTGTGTGTGTGTGTGTGTGTGTGTGTGTGTGTGGTGTGTGTATAGTGTAGTCTCACCTCTCACTCTCATCTGCTGCCTTCTCAGCCTCCTCCAGCTTCTGCAGAGCTGTGGCCAGACGCTCCTGAGCACGATCCAACTCCTCCTCAACCAGCTGGATGCGTCTGTTCAGAGATGCTACATCAGCTTCAGCCTAGGCAGAAAGTGAGATGCTTCAGAGCCGGGAGGAAGTGAGGGTGGTATCTTCAAAAAGAAACCGGCCAGAACTAAAGTGCTGGTTCCAGACAGGAAGTCTGGGGCCTGGTGTGCGCTATCTTCCAGTGTGTTGCAAGCTCTGACCAGCTCAGGTCCTCACATAGGAGCAGCACACTTGGAAATACACAAACCTAGAAACAACTCTCAGCAGAAAGTGGGCCATCAGCAACACCACCCTCACACAGGAAGGAAAGCTTCCTCACAGCTCACTGCATGCTGGAAATGTAGACAGCAACATCAGGCCCTATCCAGGCTCAGCCACACAGTCCCCAGCAGTATGATCAGAAGTTGGAATGCCATGTTTCATCAGCAATCCTTTCTTTGAGCAACTTCTCAAAGGAGCCTTACAATGAAACTGAATGTTTTAAAACCAAGTGTTTTTAAAAACACATACTAGGAAAATTAAAAAAATAAAAACCCAAAACCAAAACAACAACAACAAAACCCATAGCATATGGAGAACTAATGCCATCTAGAAACTTCCCCCTTGCCCCACCTTTTTCAGTAACTTCTTTAGAATAACTGGCCTCACTGGAACAAAGCCAAGATAAATTTCCCAAGGGTTTTGACCTAAGCTATTGGAATTTCTTCAAAGTCAAGGTTGCTACAAGAAAAGTTTCACAGGCCTAAGGAGAAAAGCAATGTGGATACTGTTTTTATTTTGAATTAAAGTTATTTAGGGTTTTGGGTGGGCAATGACTGATTGCTGTTGTTAAGTACTTGCCCAACTGTGATAAGGGTCGATCCTAGACTGCCTGGAAGGGAGGGTGGGACTTGCTAATTAGGTAGCAGTCATTTATCCTCATCCATTCGGAACCTGTGTTCATCAAAGGTTATTTACCCTTAGGATATTTAGGAGTCAATTTTCTTACAATTGCAATACTCTCTCTAGAACCCATGATACTAGGCACGTCTGTCTTTACTGAACTCTATGTTGCTTAAGTTCAAGGCCTCCGCTCTCCACAGAGGCCAGGGCTCCATAAATGTCTATTTACCTTAGCAAGTAAAAGCATTTAAACAACGGCAGCTTTCAAAGCTCGCACAAGAACTGGAAATGCATGTGCTTTTGGAGAGGCCCGGGTCATGGCCTTGAGTCACAGGAAATGAGACCATTCAGTTCTGTGCTCATCTAGATCTGTGTCAGTAGTATCTGGAGAATGGCAGTGAACAGGGAATCTCCCACCACCATGAATGGCTGTAGTCTTTTTTTTAAAAAAAAAAAAACAAACATTTTAGACACACTTATCTCAAAGAAAAAGCTACTATGTAGTGTAACTGGCTGCCAGGGTCAGGAAGCAGGGCCAGTGTGAAATTTAAGGGAGGGGCAGTTACAACTGAACCATCCCACAAGGTCAATCATCAGAGAACGCTTGGAACTTGGCCGAGCTGTGAAGTTCCTGAATGACTGGGCTTTTTCCTTGAAGGGTGGGGGAAGTGGAATAATCAATTTCCTTCTTTCTTTCTTTTTCGTTTTTTTTTTTTTTTTTTTTGAGATAGGATTTCTCTGTGTAGCCCTAGCTGTCCTGGAATTAGTTCTCGTAGATCAGGCTGGCCTTGAACTCACAGAAATACGCCTGCCTCTGCTTCCCGAGCACTGGGATTAAAGGCGTGCGCCACCACCGCCCGGCCCAGCCCAGTTTCTTAACTACAGAGAACAACCATTCCTTTTCTTTTTTTAATTTAATTTTTTTACTTTATGTGTATCAGTGTTTTGCCTACATGTGTGCATATGTACCACGTGTGTGCTTTCAGTGCCCATGGAGGTCAGTTCCAGGTGGGTACTTGGGAACAGAACCCAGGTTCTCTACAAGAGCAGCAAGAGCTTTTAATCTCCCTCAACCTCTTTAATTGGAAACATACACACATTAAGTTTGGGGTCAGGTTAAATTTCTTCATCTTGCATGTATTCCATTTCTAGGAAAAAGTAAAGTACTCCCTTTACAAACAGGGAGGGAGTTGGAGTGGAGACAGAAAACAACCCAGAAAACAAAAACAGAGAGTCAACTGGGATAGGTGTTTCAAATCCCTCTATTCGTTCTTCTCTGACACTAAGGTGGAAGGTTCTGGGCTACCTCCCAGTACCCAGTGCCCTGAGTAGTCTAACCTATACAGACAGATCCTGACCAGCTTTAGTTACAAGAAAATCAGCCATTTTCATTAGACAAGTCATGTAAATCATTTTTTTAAAGGCCAAGAAGTGCTGGTATGGATTTCTCGAGAATGCCTAGGTCATGTTCAAAAGTACTTTTCTTACTATATTGTTAGTAATAAAATCATTATCATTTAATATAAAAACAAATGTCCTCACCACACCAGCTGTTGGCGAATCAGAGAAATGTGGGCAGAATTAAAAAACAAACAAACAAACAAAACAAAACAAAAAAAAAACACCTCTGCAGCATCAAATTCTAAGTTTCCTACATTGGAACCAAACCTTGAGGACCCCACTCATCCACGGGATGGCTGCTGATGGGCAGGGGTGGGAATGAACTGGGGCAGGCAGAGCACTAGAAGGCCAAGGCACCCATACTCACCCCTGCCTGCTTCTGCACATGAGGGCCCACCACATTCAATCTGCACACCCTTCTCTTTGCCCCACCCTCTCCATACATTTTTCCTTTGGCTCTGATGCTGCTCAGCTGAATGCTGCTTTGTAAATATCTCCACTCCCCTCCCCCCAGCATCGTTTTTTTTTTAGAACTCTAAACTCCCCAACACAGTTTATTTAATGTCCTCCAACAAGACTGGCCAAGGGTTTCACAATGGGTGCCTATGCAGTGGCTGGGCTTAAGGACTGGTTCCTTTGGGCCAGTTTTGGCAGAGAGGACTGGCACCCACAGCAGAGCTATAGGGACCACATCTGGAGGAGTGTATGTAATGAAGCCCTTTTGTTTGAACTGGACTAGAACCTAGGGATCACATAGGGTCAACCACTACCTGGACATATGACTCCACTGGGAGACGCATAATAGAAACAGACTCCTGGGTCCCATGCCTAGAGATTAGGACTTGAGGTCAGTGCAAAGGGGCAGGAACCACAATGTAAATGGCAAGCCTTTCTTCTCTTCCATCACCACCCAAAGAAGCTGGGAAGTATTGCAGGAGTTGCCCAGCAATCTCCCTACTAAGCTTGAGGGACACCAGAGTAGAAGGTTCTCTATCACACCCTGACCTGCAGCACCCCAAGCAATCTCAGAGATTGTATGGACAGATACTAGCAAAGAAGTTACTGCAAGAAAATCAGCAAGCCACCTCAATTATTTTTTAAAGGCAGGCTGTTCTGGTGGGTAACCAGTAGCTCATACAAGGACACAGCTCTCTAACCCTCAAGAATGAGAACTTGAGATTAGTGCCTGGGAGTCACTAGACCACCTTCCCAGGGGAAACCCTGTACTCTGGCTCCATAGGCTCTCTTATGCTGGTCTAGTAGAAATTTTGGAGATCTCCTCAGAATCCAAGATGACTTTAATTTCCTAATAAAAGCCCAGCCTCTCATTCTCATACTCTCATTTTGAGTCTCTGATGTCTAGGCTGGCTGGTGATGCTTCTGCCTCCGCCATCTCAAGTGCAGAGATTATTACATGCATGAGTTACCCTGATTTACTATGTTCTGTGTTCCATGTCATCTTTACCAGCTTTTGTTTCTGGTTTGTTTTTTTCCTCAGGGTTGAGGCTTTTCTAGATATTTCCTGAGGGTCTCAGTATCACAGCACCCAGGTCTTCCTAAGTATCTGTTGCTGCTGTCTGTCAGAACGAGCCTACTGCCCTGTGCCTATCAGTTAAAATCCAATAGAATTAACAAGGCATTTGGGGAGGGTCAAGACCCCGGATGCAAATTATTCCTAGGCATGTAAATCACCCTTAGAGCACTGAGTTAGGTTTCTTCTAACAAAGGCCCCATAAAGCAACATTGCCAGCAAAGCCTTTCCAGTTGGGTTGCTGGTTTCAAAAGTGCTATTGCACCCCAACATGTAATGAGTTTACTCAGAAAGAGACTGTTGTATTGGGGAGATTATGAGCCCTGGTTAAACCACCACCCAGTGCTCACACATGTGAGATCCTTAGTGTTGTACATGCTCCCTGCCTGTGTAAGTACTAGCTTCCACCAAGGAAATCCTGCAAGCTCACCATTCCTACCCTTCACCCTGCCTTCAAACAAGGAAGTGGCTACCTTCAGAAAAACACAGGCACACATCATTGCCCTACCCAAGAAGGAACTATGTAGAAATTAATGCTTTCACTCCAGCAGAGCAAAATGTTATTCCAAACTAGACTTGAATAAAGCCCAAGATTTACATGAAATTCACATGTTTTAGCCAACACATAAAGAAGAAAATCCTTTACTCTGAAAGCCAATATATTTTCAAAGCCCTGACTGAATCCAAGCGGAGCCTGGAATGATCAAAGGTCAGATCTTTTATTTCATGTAAACTGTAGTTACAGAGAGAGTTTTACCCAGCTTGCTGTGTAAGACCGAAGTGACTAGGGCCAAGCTAAACTTCTGTCCTTTCCTTTTATGGTCAAGAAAAGGAAAACACACACACACACACACACACACACACACACACACACACAAACACACACAGGACATTAGGGGCACTCCCATGGATAGCAGATAAACACAGCCTCCTCTATCTGGGCCAAAGCCTGTAATTTGTGAGGCATGTTTGTGTAGCAAGAGGGAAGGGAGCGAGGTACTGAGGTGCCTTGCTGTGACTGCATAGGAAAGTGGGAGCCCAGAGTATTGCCAGTCACTGCCACTCTGGAAGTGCCAGGGCAAGCACAGAGCACACTCAGTTTCCTGGTTCCAGAAGAAGCTGCCAATGCTAGAGTCAGGAAAGGGCTGGGGATTTTGGGAAACTGGTTATTTCCCATGATTAATAGTTATCCATTAAGAACCTGCCAGCAGCCGGGCATTGGTGGCGCATGCCTTTAATCCCAGCACTCTGGAGGCAGAGGCAGGCGGATCTCTGGGAGTTAGAGGCCAGCCGGGTCTACAAGAGCTAGTTCCAGGACAGCCTCCAAAGCCACAGAGAAACTCTTGTCTTGAAAAACCAAAAAAGAACCTGCCTGCACTTTTAAGTCTTCTCATCTGCTAGGTTCTGCTCAGAAAGCTGGAGAGAGAAGTGGCTTTTTTCTACTTTAAACACACATATTACCATCCCACAAAACCCTTAAGACACAAGACCTAGAGTCAAGCATTATATCAAGTAAAGTAATTTCATTCCAAGATTCTAAAGGGCCCACACACCTTGGGAAAACAAACAAGGAGGAAGTGAGCGATACCTGTTTTTTTCCAAGGTACATACCAGTTTAAGAGGGCCCATTAAGTCTACCTCAATCTTGGAGTACCTGAACTGGGGCCAACTCTACACTGAGTTTTTGCAGTGGCTCATGGCTTTGTCACCAAACCTTAATCTTAGCTACCAAGAGAAACTGTTCCTGCTAGCTTAACTTACAGCCTAAGCTACACCTAATAACCACTTAAATTATCTCTATCCATAAGGGAAGTTCCAGTTTAAAAGTCAGAGTAATCAGCAATGTGCAATTGTCTCACCAGCTGGTCACACTCGGTCTCTATTGTAAATCCTGACCAATCACCCTGCTAGAGGATTTCTGAAAAAAAACGATTTTAAAATCTTTTTTAAAAGGATTTCAATTGCTCTAAATAAAGGCATAAGGTCTTGAAAAGAATGAAAGCTCTGTCCTTAGCAAACTAGCCTGGGAATACTGCTATAAAACAAAACAAAACACAAGGATGTACAAACTAGCAGGTACTCCTTTTGTGTGTACTGCCAGTCACTAGGCCAGTAGTCTAGTAATGCTCCACCACTAATGCCTCTTCAACCCACAGTCCTTTCAGCCTGCCTGATTCACCTCCTAAAATTGAGAAAATAATTGGTGATTAAAAGCATTAAATGGGGGAGTTTGGGGGGTAATGAAGTGAGTAGGGCCATTTTTAGGAGCCTTTGCCAAGTAATTACGGTAAAGAATGCTAGGCAAGGTGGTGCTGGACATTGTTAATAAAGAGCAGTTTAAGTGCACTACCTCTGTCTGCTAAGCCCCGCTGTGATCTCTTTACATACTAACCACATTTGACTCACAGGGAACCAAAGCATTAACAGTTGTCCCCAGCTAGAGAGGAGACAAGCCAGGTTTCATATCCTGACCAACTGGACCCAGTGCTCTGCATCCTGGTTTTTAGCTCACTGGTTCACAGTGGTCAGCCAGGCACCGATCAGAATTAATGTATCACCAGTTGCCTTAAGACTTCTACAGCGAGACTTTTACTAACTAATCCTCAAGCAAATAGACAAGTTATCTTTTGTCTGTTGATTTTTTAAAATCTTTATCTGTATTTTTATCTTAAACTTCCTCTAGTTGGGCCTTCCTCTTAGGAAAACTCCCTTGGTTCACTGTATTTTATACAAAACAGGTTGTGGAGTTTCTGCAAGACGCCATGCAACCATTACAAACTCTCAGCCAGGAGGAATGACTCAATTTAGAATAGTCTTGTGTATATTAAGCACAGTTGGACAGCATATTATTGTTTGTCATAAAAGCTCAAGGTGTTTGAATACCTTGATTTAAAACACAACACACACACACACACACACACATACACACACACCACCCACACACACACACCCACACACACACACACACACACACACACACACACACACACACCTGATAAATATCTAATATCTAAACTCCCTTTGAAACCCTGTTTCTGTTTGCTGGATACATTTGCCTTACAAAGAAAGGAAACCAGGTACTACATTAGACAAGGAGAGGTAGCCAGCAAGAGGTACAACCAGTAACTATTGACTCCTGGCCAACTTTTCCTAAAACTTGTAACAAAAGGATATCTGTTGTAGAGGGATATCCACTTGGGAGATGGGAGGTCTAAGAAACCTAAGGCTATAAGGGAAGCAAGCTATGCAAGTTAACTCTTCCCTCAGAACCTAACCTCAGTGTCTAACCTCCATGGAGAAACAGCCTCTAGGAACCAGAGGATCAACAGAGACAAAAAAAAAAAAAAAAAAAAAAAAAAAAAAAAAAAAAAAAAATCCAGCATGCGCAGGCCCCGAAGACCCACAGTGTTTCTCCCCAGACACTGATCTTTAATGACGCCCCCTTCCAACCCCAACATGAGTAAAAAAAAAAAAAAAAAAAAAAATGCCAGCAGCGCAAAGTGCACATCCCTAGGACATAATTCATGACCACCCCAGAAATGCAGTCCTCTCACAGGAAAAATGCTGCTCCCAGAACCTTCTCAACAGCACTATTGCTTCGCCCAGAAGGTTTTGACTTTACACTAGGGAGATAGATACATAGGCATTACTAAGCAGCCGGGTGCCAGTTGGCCTAGGTGCGCCAGGTGCGGCGTGGGGCCTCGGGGATGACGGGTGGGTCTCTTACGGTC